GGCAGAGAACAGGGGGGAGGGTATTTATTTTATATGTGGGGATGTGGAGGGCCGCAATGTTTACATTGCTTTATCTTAATATTGTTGTTGTTAATATTTATTTTTGTAACTTTATTCTGCCTTCAACATTTAAAAGTGTAATTTCATAAGATAATTTAAGAGGGTGGGTTTAGGGGCGGAGTTAAGGCCGAGGCAGGGTTGGGGTTAGGTGGGGCAACTGGTGGCGAGTAACTCTTAAGGCCTGGCTAGTAGCTCAGGACTTGAAATTTTGAGCCCTGCCCTATGTGATAGCAATAAACCTAAGTGTAAAAAAGTTTAAAATTAAAACAAAAACGAAAAAAAAAAAAAATCTAAAAAAGAAATGTAAAGCCTCCCGCTCCCACATATATACATACAAACATGTCCATCGGGTGCGCCTATGCGTGAAAATGACGATTCTGTCCCACGTTAGGTATCGCTGTACACGCCAAAGTGAGAGCAAATCATTCTAGGGCTAGAAGAACTTCACAGCATTTTTTTCTCAACCCTTGCAGTATGGCTATTCCCGCACTGCAAGGGTTAAGTGCCAGTTTTTGTCTTGGTGCTAAAAATAACAAAAAGGTATATTCACCCAAAGCGCGGAGCCCGCCAGCTGCCACAGTGCTCACTCCCTTCCGCCCCGTCTCCTCCTATGCTGCATTGGAATCTTCCTCAGCATCCTCACATCTGTGACATGACGATATATGGGATTTTAGACCGCTGCAGAGGAGGGGGAGAGAGACCGGAAGAGACCGGTCTAAGAACAACCCGGATCAGGGGATTGGGCGAGTAGAACCTTTTTTTTTTACCTAGAGCAGTCAACCCGTGCAGTGGGGCTAACCTTGCACTGCAATGACGGAAGGGGTTGACTACTCTAGGTTAAAAAAGAAAAAAAAGAAGTTATACTTACCCGATCCTCTGAGCCGGCGTGTTCTCAGATCCAAAAACTGATGTCCTGTACAGGCTTTTAAAGCATCACCTATGGAAGTTTGTGTTACTGAAGTTTTCCATTGTTTCCCGGACACATGCAATTTTGAAGCTTGATATGTTTCTATTTATTCATCCAAACATCATCTTTTCATGTTACAAAAAAAATAAAATACTGGGGGGAAATTTTCAAAACTGTAGCAGCCAAAATGTGGAGCAAATTTGCATTGCAACCAATCAGCTTTTACCTCTCGTTTTCAATCTCACCTGAGCAAACTGAAGAGAGAAGCTGATTGGTTGCCATGGGCAACTGCTCCAGATTCTGCTTGCTCCAGTTTTGATCAATTCCCCCCACTGTGTTTAAGTGCAATAAAATGAATTTGAATGCATTTTTTCTTTAACAGAATATTTGAATTTGATAAACGATGCGCCAGTATTTTGTGACATAAAACAAATTGCTTCTTCCACCATTTTATTCTACAGAGTCTCTATTTTCAGAATATACACATTTTGTTTTAATTGGTGTCTAAAGTAGTATTGAAGGCTGATTGTTGTTTTCCCTGCACGGAGGTAAAAAACGATCAGTTTTTTTTTGTGTTCCCCGACTCTCCCACACTTACCTGTCTGCGCTTTCACCGCCACCAGTGTTCTGTCAAGAATGCTGACCCAGTCGAATTTGCCGACCTGACCATCTGCGCTTGCGCACACACCGTGATGAACGAGGAAACAGTCATTTATTTACAAAGTATTAATTTCTAATTGTTAATTGTGACTGTTCATAATAGGCCATCCATGGCTGTAAATGATGGATGGCCTTTTATGCACATTCACAATTAAAGGAGAACTATGGGGTAAGGGCTTTTCCCCATAGTTCTCCTAAGGGTCACGGGAGAACACAAACTAGCGTTCTCCCGTGACCCAAAGCTTTGTATACCGCGAGCTGTATACTGAGACGCCGCACCTGGGACGGATCCCGACATTGCTGTCGAGATCCACCGAGCTGCGGGATTGACAGCTGGCTCTGCCTATCCAGAGGCAGAGCCAGCTGTGCCCACCCCCTCCCCCGTCCGTTCCGCCAGTCAGCGCTGGAGGATCAGACAGGGGAGGGGAATCCCTGCAGGGAGTCGTGAGTGACAGTCACCACTCTCTGCAGGGACATGATCGAGAAGTGAGCGAGCGACGGTATGTGTTCGCTCACTTCCCGATCTACTGAGCCGACATGTGACAGTTTCATTGTCACAGTTCGGCTCAGATTATGAAAATCACTCACCTCATAATTCTCCTTTAATATCGTAAGCAATTACATAATGATGAAATTGCTTATGATGTTAATTGTGAATGTGCATAAAATGCCATCCATCATGCACTCGCTCGGATGGCTTATTATGAACGGTCACAATTAACAATTAGAAATTAATACTTTGTAAATAAGTGGCTGTTTCCTCGTTCATCCTGCTGTGTGCGCAAGTGCAGATGGTCAGGTTGGCAAATTCGACTGGTTCGGCCTTCTTGACAGAACACCGGTCCCCGAACTTCCTGGTTGCAGCGGAGGATACTGGAGGGCAGAGAAGCCATAGGCTCCTTCGGCCGTCAATCGCCCCCATAGGGAGGAGGGGAGTGGCCTGCCGCAGGTCTGTGTGTCTCTATGGACGCACACAGCCACTGTGGGAACACGCACACATGCACGGGTGCCTCCAAATCAGCCGTTTAACCGATGGCGGCACCTGTGTAGGGGGGATGAGCGCTGCGGAATAGAAGCTTTTTGAAGAAAAAGAACAGACCATTTATAAGAAGGTGGACCTCCTAGATGGAAAAATCTAAAATAAAACAAGCTTTAATATCACTAGCAATTTCAGGCCTTTTTTAGCATTTAAAAATTAGCAAAAAAGGCTCCGGCAATGAAAGTGGTAAATCTGATGTAATGCAATATCAATAGGACCTTTTTTTTTTTCTCTCTTTTTTTTAAATCTACAGCACCTATTAGACAAAAAGCTGAAATTAAAAAACAAAAAAAAAAACAAAACACAAAACACAGGGGACAGTTAATAATCTGACAATTTTTTTAAATTAATAAACACAAGTTAGGGAAATGTATTTTCAAAGTGCAAATTGGTTAATAAAGTAGCACTTCTAAGTTCTGCCACAGTTTTGAGATTAGATTTCATCACTTAGGCCCTGTTCACACTTCGCGTACACACACATCGCGTACACCCATGGTGCATGTGACTGTACGTCGCGTTTATGCACGTTTTGCTGTGCGTCAGCCCTTTCATTTCAATGGGCTGCTGCACACTGAATAAAAGTGGCAGAGATGCTCAT